GCTCGCCAGACAGACAGAGACATAGAGACAGAAAGCGAAAAATCACCCCCCAGGGGGGATGGTCACACTACAATCCCTTCTCCTCCATTCTCCTCTCAGGATCTTGGGCACGCACGCACACGCGCCTGGCGTGAGTTTTAAGTCACTGGGTCCGGGACGCAAACCGCAGTCAACGACATGGGAGTCCAACGACATAGCCATTACGCTAACTGCTGGTTCCCCTGCACGTCAATTCTGAAGGCACACATCAGCCATAGCAGACGCCTGGTCCCCAGAACTGCTGCTTTTAGCCACCCGGTCTGAGAGAGCTGGCTAAGGCGGCTCAAGGAACTAATGCAGTATGTAACATGTAGGCGTCTTCAGTGACTGTCCTCTTTAGTCAGCCTCTCCAGTGCGCCCAGCTGCACTCAGTCCCAGTCGTCTGGGATAGGTGGGTGGGCCATGCAGTCCCCTGAGCGTTCAGGGTCATAAAGGGTTAACCAGAAGCTCTAACGTCCCCCCACAGCCTGGGGGTGTCACCTTAGAGAAGCCCCTGAACTGCCCTGCGCCTTGGCTCTTTCGACTATAAACTGGTGGCTTGCGTGTGTCCCACATGTGTTCCTGAGCATGGCTTTCCACTCCAGAATCCAGGAGTGACGAGGACAGCCGAGGTCGCTGTCCCCAGGAGCTAATGCTTGATCAGAGGACAAACAGCAAGTCAAACACACACACACAGACCCAAGCCTGATGAGCGCTGGGAGGAAAGTGACAACTGCGTTGTGACAGTGACATGCTAAGAAAGGGGCCTATTTGTTTCTGGGAGGGGTGGTGACCACCTTGGTGCTGAGCCTGAATGACAAGAGCAGAGGTGACACGGGTCACCTGTCAGGAGGCTGCAGGGCAGAGTGGCAAGGCTAGAAGACCTCCGACTGGGTCCAGACCATGTTTGGGGTGGGGTGGGGGCAGGGTGCAAATGGGTGCTGAGACTCTCTATCTGTGCTCCCCACCTCACCCCTGCCACCCTGGAGACCTGAGCTAGGGCCCCAGGAGGGGAGCCCTGCTCTGAAACAGTCGTCAGATCAGTCCCTGTGCGCTGCAGGAGACACCAGGCTGCCCGGCTGGTGGCTGGCTGGTGGCAGAGCTCATCTCCGGCAGGGCTGCTGTCCAGGCGTCAGAGGGAACAGGAGCAGAGCACCAGCCGGTGAGGTGGCCCAGGACTGCCACAGGTGGGGGCAGGGGGACATGCAGGAACAGAACCCAGATTGCCAGCTCCAGCCCAAGTCCCTCCTTTCCGGTTCCAGGGGCCCCAGGGTGCCCCCCCACACACATTCCAACTGCCTGACAGGCCTATTCTTTAATGCCACCCTGTGCGAGGGGTGGCGCTGCAGACAGGTGGGTTGGCAGCCCTGGGTGACCTGAGAGTGGGCACAGGTCTCGGAGCTGGGGAGGCACCTACAGAGCCAGACCTTGGGTTTCCTGCCAGACCTCAGGGGAGAGGCAGAGAGGCTGGCACAGAATCCAGCTCGAAACATTCTGGAGGCATCAGGATCCAGCGATGTGACAGCAGGAGAGCCCGCATCCTTTCCAGCCGTCAGCTCAAGCTTCTCTGGGTGTTTTACACATCCGCCAGGTGGGTGCATTAGGGAAGGCTAAGCTGCTGTAACAGAGACCCTCGGTAAGCTGACGGTTTAAAGGAAGACCAAGTATCATTCTCCCCAAACTGTCCCCCTCACCACCCCGGCTTTGGGAGTGGAAAGCCACGCTCAGGAGACACACGTGGGGTGCGAGCAAGCAGCCCATTTTATACCCAAAAGGGCTGTGGTGAGGGCAGTTCGGGGCTTCTCCAAGGTGAGACTTCAGTGTTAGGAACCCAAGACAGACCCAGCCTACTGAGGAGCAGAGCTCCTGGTTAACCCTTTGTGACCCTGTCCACAGTGACCTCCCAGGTCACTGCCCCAAGACCCACTCCTTTCACTTCCATCTGCTCTTCTCCTCGGGACGCTGTTCTCATCACCGTCAAGGCCAGGTCACAGGCCTTGTGTGAGCGAGGAACTGAGAACACGGACAAGGAGCCCCACAGTCTTTTGGCTGAGGTTCCCAAGGGGCTCACGTGGTTTCTGCTCAGTTCCCACCACTAGAACTTGATCTTGTGGCCATTCATAGCTGCAAGGGATGCTGGGAATGAACTCTGGCTGTGTGTTTGCTAGGAAGGGGGCCTGATTTTGAAGGACAGCTTGCAGCCTCAAACTGGGCGTGTACAGCAACGCCTCTGCAGGGCGCGCTGAGTTTGGTACAGGCCTGGCGTTCAGTAAGCGCTGGGTAAAAGTGCTCATATCATTGAGCTCAGAGCTGCAAGGGCCTTAGAAATTCTCTGGTCCGATATCCTCATTTCTTTGCAGCTAGACACACAGGCACAGATGAGCAGGTGCCCTTGGCCAGGGACATCACAGCTTTATGACTAGGCAGGTGTGGCCCTCCTGGTTTCCAGGACAGGAGGCCAAGCTGCTCTGTGACAAAGGGCCACACCCGCCCCCCAGGAGGGGCACTGGGCTGGGAGCAGCTGGGGCCTGGGAACAGCGACAGCGCAGTAGGCGGCTGAGGAGGATGGCGTGCCTGGGCTTTCTCCTCCCCGTGGGCTTCCTCCTCCTCACCAGCGCCCTGGCCTGGGGGGAGTACGGCGTGGTCCGTGTGGTGTCGGAGAACTGGAACAAGGACTACTGTGTCCTGTTCAGCTCCGACTACGTCAACCTGCCGCGGGACCTGCACCACGCTCCACTCCTGCCCCTGCACGATGGCACTGCAGCACCCTGGTGCCCAGGCGAGGACCTCCACCGGGCCCAGCCCCGCTCCCTCAGCCAGCAGCCCCTCCGCCAGACCACCGCCATGGTCATGAGAGGCAACTGCAGCTCCTATGCCAAGGGCTGGCTGGCGCAAGGCCGCGGCGCCCACGGGCTTCTCATCGTGAGCCGCGTCAGCGGTCACCAGTGCTCAGACACCACCCCAGTGTCCCAGGACCCCCACAAGCCCCTGCCAGACCTCACCATCCCTGTGGCCATGCTGGGCTACACCGACATGCTCGACATCCTCAGCCACACGCGTGGGGCAGCCGACGTCCGCGTAGCCATGTACGCGCCCCTGGAGCCGGTCATCGATTACAACCTGGTGGTCGTCTTCATCCTGGCCGTCGGCACTGTGGCCGTGGGCGGCTACTGGGCCGGCCTGACCGAGGCTGACTGGCTGCAGCGACGCCGGGCCCGAGGAGGAGGGGGGCCTGGTGGTCACAATCAGCCGGGAGCAGCGGCAGCCCAGGGGGGCCCAGGGGCCAAGGAGGAAGATGAGGAGGAAGACACGCCAGTGGACTTCACGCCCGCCATGACGGGCATGGTGGTCGCCATGTCCTGCTCCATCATGCTGCTCCTCTACTTCTTCTACGACTGCTTTGTCTACGTCATGATCGGGGTCTTCGGCCTGGGCGCTGGCACCGGCCTCTACAGCTGCCTGGCACCCCTGGTGCGGCGCCTGCCCCAGAGGCAGTACCGGTGCCAGTGGCCCCTGTGCAAGCGCCGGGCCCGTCTGCAGCTGCCCCCGCTGCTGCCAGCTGTCCTGTGCACGGTGGGGACCGCACTCTG